AGAAGACTCTTGAGAGTCCCTTGGACTGTAAGGAGATCCAACCAGTCCATCCTAAAGGAAATCAGTCCTGAATATTCATTGGAAGGACTGATGTTGAAGCTGAAACTCCAATACTTTGGTCACTTGATGCGAAGAACTGACTCACTAGAAAAGACTCTGATGCTGGGGAAGATGGAAGGCGGGAGGAGAAGGGAATGACAGAGGATGAGATGGTTGGATGGCATCACCAACTTAATGAACATGAGTTTGAGTAAACTTCTGGAGTTGGTGATGGACAGGGAGGCCTGGTGTGCTGCAGTCCATGGGGTCGCAAAGAGTCGGACACGAATGAGCAACTGAACTAAACGAGCTGAAAGATACTAATAACTGTGTGAGGAAGACCACAGAAAATGCATAGCTACATAAATTGTTGTATTATCAGTATCTTGGATGTCAGTGAAGAGGCGATCACTATTTGACAGAGAAGACAGAGAAAATCTCCTGGTGAATTTGGAATTCAAGCCTTAAAAGTTTCTTTACTTTGGTGGAGAAAAGGGTGAGGGCAGGGCTCGTGAACAGAAGATAATATGGGGGTATCCCTGACGGTCCTGTGGCTAAGACTTCATGCTCCCAGTGCAGGGGACCCAGGTTTGATCCCTGGTCAGGGAATTAAATCTCACTTAGCGTGACTAAGAGTTCTCATGCCACTTTTTTTTTTTTTTTAAGTATTTATCGTAGTATAGTTGCTTTACAGTGTTCTGTTAGTTTCTGTTATACAGCAACGTGAATCAGCCAAATGTATATATATCCCCTCTTTGTCACCACAGAGCATTGAATAGAGTTCCCTGTGCTATACAGTAGGCTCTCATTAGTTATCTCTCTTATTCCTGGGATCAATAGTGCATGTATGGTTTACTTGCCAAGTCATGTCTAACTCTCATGACCGCATGGACTGTAGTCCGCCACGCTCCTCTGTCCATAGCATTTTCCAGGCAAGAATACTGAAAAATGGGTTGCCGTTTCCTTCTCCAGGGGATCTTCCCAACCTAGGGATTGAACCAGATCTCCTGCACTGCAGGCAGATTCTTTACCAACTGAGCTACCAGGGAAGCCCCAGTATATGTCGGTCCCAATCTCCCAATTCATCCCACCCCTCATTTCCCCCTTTGCTGTCTATATGTTTGTTCTCTACGCCGGTGTCTGTTTCTGCTTTACAAATAGGTTCATCTGTATGAGAAGCTTTTTCTTTTTCATGTTTTATTTGCTTTACTTTTATTTTTCAGTCGTGCGACTTGTGGGCTTGCAGAATCTTAGTTCCCTGGCCAGGGATTGAATCCCAGCCCCCTGCTTGGAGATAAGCAGTCCTAACCACTGGGTCCCAGAGAATTCCCGCTGAGCAGTTTCTTGAAATGCAGTATTTCAGAGCGACTGTGAATTTAAAAAAAAAAAAGGCATTTTAACAAGATTCCCAAATTATTCACGTTTACTAAAATTTGAAAAGTAGTGAGGAATCTTTCGATTGTTATACTAAGTTGCATGTTTATAGCTAGGAATATGTTTTTCAACAGAAACTATGTAAGAAATGGTGGTTAGGATTTCAGCCTAACTGATAAAGGCCTAAAACGATTCATAATTAGAAATGCTGTGTGGAATCTAATGCTTACATTCCAGGACAGGCAGGAACTGCTGGACTGGAGAGCAGAAAAAGCAGATTTGTATCTTGGTTAGAGAAAGGGGAAAAGAAAAATAAACGTATCAGACTGCTATGGGCTGATTTGCACAGGGTGTGACACAAGGTCAGTGACTGGGGATACTGATCCTGTAATTTCCCAAGAACTAGGTTCCGGAGCACAGCATCTGTGTTGCTCTGCTTGTAGCAAATTCTCTGTTAACATAATGGCAGCCTTGATTGAGAGAACAGATTATTTCTGTAAATTACACAGTTTCCAAGATACATAGTCAAGTGAAAAAAAGCACAGTGCAGAGTAGTATGTATAGTATGCACGTGTGCGTTCCAAGTCGCTTCAGCGGTGTCTGCCTGACTCTTTACGACCCTATGAACTGTGGCCTGCCAGGCAAGAATACTGGAGTGGGTTGCCATGCCCTCTTCCAGGGGATCTTTCTGACCCAGGGATCGAACCCACATCTCTTATGTCTCCTGTATTGGCAGGCGGATTCTTTACCACTAGTGCCACATGGGCAATCCCATGTGTAGTATGCTAAAGTGGAAAATCTTTAACACTTGTTATTTTGCCCATGCGCAAATATGTATGTAGAAGAATTCCTAGAAATGGAATTATTTGTACAGAAGCTACATGAATTTGTAATGTTGCTAGATTTTACCCAATTGTTTCTGTAAGTGTTGTATCAATTTACACTGCTACTAGTGATATTTAAGAATGCTAAGTTATATGACCAACTTTATGCTCTTTGCCAATGCAATGGTTAAAAAATGGTATTTCAGTGTTGTTTTAATGTGTATCCCTGTAAATGGTGAGATTAAATATCTTGAAATGTATTTAAAAGTCATTTCTGTGAAATATCCTGGTGCATGGGTGCATGCTCAGTCGTGTCCCAACTCTTTTTGACCCATGAACTGTAGCCTGCCAGGCTCCTCTGTCCATGGGATTTCCCAGGTAAGAATACTGGAGTGGGATGCCATTTCCTCCTCCAGGGGATCTTCCCAACACAGGGATCGAACCAGGGTCTCCTGCATTGCAGGTGGATTCTTTACCACTGAGCCATCTGGGAAACCCCTTATTCCTGACCAGTTTTATATTAGAGTATTTCTTTTCCTTTTTTTATTTATAGGAGTTATTTATATATCAGGGAATTTAGCCCTTTGTGTTATGCTTAGGAAATCTTTTTGTTAATACACAAAAACAGCAATGAACAGGTAATTAGTGGCCACTGTATTGACTAGCATAGGCCTGGAAGTTGACCAGGTAATTTGCTGCTGACCCCTATTTCCTTAGATATGGTGGGGTATGTCTTTTTTAAAAATTGTGTTCAAGATTGTAGTTCCATATATAGAAAACACATGGAAAAAGTTTTGTAATGTAAAGTTTTAAGAAACTAAAACTTGGTTTAAACTTCTTTTACCTGGTGGAACAAGGTTAAAAACATTTTTTTAATTGAATGTTACTAATTTTCAAAATTTTAAATGTTGTGGGAAATCACATGGCTGTTTTAAACCTAAATGTGTCTGTATTATTCTCATTCTTTCCACCAGGTTACCACCAAAGAACATGATTTTGGTCTAGGGGCTCCAGTTTCTGAAGCTGAAAAATACCAGAATATTCTCCAGCTAGAGCAAGAAGTGAGAAATCAAGACAAATTCATCTCTACACTGAAATTACAGGTTACACTTAGTTTCTGTGCTTATGTCCCTAAGTTAATTTGGGATGGGGGCCTATATTAAAATGATAGAGAATAAATTCTCATTCAGTACTCATTTAAATTGTATGGGTCTAAAATCATTCCATTTTTTATCTTAACCATCTTGAAAACACACAGAGTGAGTGAGTACAGACTATGTGCCAGGTATCAGATCAGATGGTTTTAAGTACATAATCTTACTTCATCATCCTGACCTTGTAAGACTGTGGTGTCATTTCCACTTTACAGATGTGGAAGCTAAAGTTCCGAGAGGTTAAAGAATTATTATATTTGACTAATGAGTGACAGAGCTAGGATTTCCCTGAACTCCCAATTTAGCTAGAATTTGATTCCAGTTCTGTGAATTCCCAAGTTCAGTACTGTTTCTGGTTTCCTGGTGGAATAGCTATTAATGAAGTGAAAAGTGTTAGTCACTTAGTCGTGGCCGACTCTTGCAACCCCATGGACTGTGGCCCACCAGGCCCCAGGTTCCTCTGTATTTGGAATTCTCCAGACAAGAAACTGGAGTGGGTTGCCATTTCCTTCTCCAAGGGATCTTCCTGACCCAGAGATTGAACCTGGGTCTCCTGCATTGCAGATAGTTTCCTTACCGTTTTTCCGAACCAGTAAGGCTATTAAAAGAAACTTCCTCTTCTAGGAAAATGGAGTAGACTCTCTTTTCCTTACTCTTTCCACTAAGTACAGCTAAAACCCTGAATACTGAGTGTGAAGCAAACCTCAGAACACTGACAGGTGAGCAGAAGGAAGACTGGCTAGGGATCTCAGCGCACGATGAGTGTTAGAACATGGTTAGGGAGTTTCTGGTTTTCTTTGTGCTCCAGGTTTCCCAGGTGGAGTACTGGAAAAACTAGCAACCAGAAATAAGGGATGCAGATTTTAAAAGGTCTCAGGAAAGCCATCCCTCCTAGCCAAAGGACTAGGAAATGGGCAATGCAGCAAGGCAGATTAATCTTAGACAAGAACTGCCCACTCTTAGCAAATACCAAGGAGAAATCTATCCCCATTCCTGCCAGCAAAGGCTGAATAAAGAGCCTAGAATAAAGAGCCTCATACTATCACAAGAGAGCCCACCTTGCCTCATCCCCTGCCATCCTGCCCCACAAGGCCCCCATCCCACCAGTGTTGTATCAAAGAAGGCTGAGTGGGGAACCAAGACTTTAGTGTCTATCAGGCAATAAGGAAGCCCCCAACCCCATATTGTCAGGAGAGACCACGTGGGGAGCCTAGAAGTCCACTGCCTCCTGGTAGTAAGAGGTGCTTCCTATTTCTGTTTGCTGGGGTGATCTCAGAGGTGACCTAGTGCAGAGGCAGAACCTTTACCACCCTACAACAGTAACAAGTCCACCCTCCCACAGTGGCAGTGGGGAGTATGTGGGAGCAGCAATAAGATGCCTCTGTTCCTGCTCGCTTTGGTGGTATCAGCCGAGGTCTGAATTCTCATCCCTGCCTAGCAGTCACAAGAAGCCCCACATTTCCTGGGTATTACCCGAGGCCCTGTGGAGAGACTGGACTTCTGCTCCTGTCCAAAGTAGCAAGGCAGTGTCCCTCTTTTCTTCCTGGAGCAGTGTCACAGGAAGCCTACTGAAAGACATGAGTCGGTGTCTTAGACTGCCAGACCTCAATAAAAGATAAAATCACTCCTCATCCCCCAAATCAGGATGATCTCAGCCTCTGTGAGAAAAGACAATGAAGAGGCACCAATGCAGAGATGAATCAGATATGACAGTTATCTGACAAAGATTTTAAATTAGCCCTCAAATAAATGCTTTAACAGGCAGTTTGAGCTTGCTTGAAACAAACAAAATCTCATCAAAGAAACAAAAGATATAAAGTATTAATAGAGCCAAGTGGAATTTTGGCAGCAAACAAGATGTTCTTCAATAGGTGAATAGATAAACTGTGGTGCACAGTAGAATATTATTCATTGATAAAGAGAATGAGCTATCAAGCCATAAAAAGACATGAAAGAACCTTGAAAGGATATTGCAAGGTGTTAAAAAGCCCATCTGAAAAGATCGTGTACTCTGTGACTCCAACTTCAGGACCATCTGGGAAAGACAAAGCAAAGACATTAGAAGATCACTGGTTGTCAGGGGTTTGGAGGGAGGGGTGAATGAGCACAGTAGATTTTTTAGGGCAGTATATATTCTGTATATATACAATAGCTACATGTCACTATACGTTTGTAAAAACCCACAGAATCTACAACCCGAGGAGTGAACCCTAATTAAACTCTGGACTTTAGTTAATAATAATTTATAATGTTGGTTCATCAGTTGTAACCAATGTACTAACCAACACTAAAACAAGATGTAAATAAGGGGAAATTGGGGTGAGTGGGAGAGGGGAGAAGGGGTGTATGGAAACTCTCTGTACTTACTGGTCAGTTTTTCTGTAAACCTAAAACTGCTCTGAAAAAAGGAAGGTCTGTGAAAAAAAAACCACATGGGTGAAAAGATTTCCAAATTATGTATCTGATAAGGAGTTAATATCGAGAGTATATAAAGAACTCCTTCAACTCAACAACAAGAAAACTCAAAACAACTCAGTTCAAAAATGGGCAAAAGACTTGAGTAGGTGTTTCTCCAGAGAAGAGATACAAATGGCCAATAAGCATATGAAAAGATGATCAGCATCACAGTCATTAAGGAAATGCAAATCAAAACCACAGTGAGATATCACTTCACACCAATTAGGACCACTCAGTCAGTCAGTTCAGTCGTGTCCAACTCTTTGCGACCCCATGAATCGCAGCATGCCACGCCTCCCTGTCCATCACCAACTCCCGGAGATTACTCAAACTCATGCCCATTGAGTCAGTGATGCCATCGGGCCATCTCATCCTCTGTCGTCCCCTTCTCCTCCTGCCCCCAATCCCTCCCAGCATCAGGGTCTTTTCCAATGAGTCAACTCTTTGCATCAGGTGGCCAAAGTATTGGAGTTTCAGCTTCAACATCAGTCCTTCCAATGAACACCCAGGACTGATCTCCTTTAGGATGGACTGGTTGGATCTTCTTGCAGTCCAAGGGACTCTCAAGAGTCTTCTCCAACACCACAGCTCAAAAGCATTAATTCTTCGGTGCTCAGCTTTCTTCACAGTCCAACTCTCACATCCATACATGACTACTGGAAAAACCATAGCCTTGACTAGACGGACCTTTGTTTGCAAAGCAATGTCTCTGCTTTTTATTTTTTATTTTATTTTTTATGTCTCTGCTTTTTAATATGCTGTCTAGTTGGTCATAACTTTCCTTCCAAGGAGTAAGCGTCTTTTAATTTCATGACTGCAATCACCATCTGCAGTGATTTTGGAACTCAAAAAAATAAAGTCTGACACTGTTTCCACTGTCTCCCCATCTATTTCCCATGAAGTGACTGGACCGGATGCCATGATCTTAGTTTTCTGAATGTTGAGCTTTAAGCCAACTTTTTTATTGTCCTCTTTCACTTTCATCAAACGGCTTTTTAGTTCTTCACTTTCTTCCATAAGGGTGGTGTCATCTGCATATCTGAGGTTATTTATATTTCTCCTTGCAATCTTGATTCTAGCTTGTGCTTCTTCCAGCCCAGTGTTTCTCATAATGTACTCTGCATATAATTTAAATAAGCAGGGTGACAATATACAACCTTGATGTACTCCTTTTCCTATTTGGAACCAGTCTGTTGTTCCATGTCCCACTAGCTATCATCAAAAAGTGAAAAATAACAAATATTGATGAGGATGTGGAGAATCAAGTTATTTATGCATTGCTAATGTAAAATGATTTAACAAAAAAGTTTGATAGTTCCTCAAAAAGTTAAGTATAGAACTACCATGTGATCCAGCTACTCCACTCCCAGGAATATCCTCAAATGATTAAAAGCAGGGACTCAAACAGATACTTGTATTCCAAAGTTCACGATAGCCAAAATGCGGAAACAACCCAGATGTCCATCGACAGATGAATGCATAGACAAAGTGGGGTATATGCAAGCAACGGAACTTTATTCAGCCTTAATTCAGATGGGAGACAACAAGGTGGATGAGCCCTGAAAACGGTGTGCTCATTGATATAAGGTACAGGGCAAATATTGTATGATTCCACTTACAAGAGTTAGACAGATTCATAAGTGATTATTTAATGGTTATAGTTTATGATGATGAAGAAGTTCTGAGAGTTAGATATGGGATGGTTGTACTATGTTGTGAATGTACTTAATGCTACTGAATTTTACACTTAAAAATGGTTGGAGTGGTAAATTTGGGGATGTTCTATTTTACCACAAAAAAAAGTTTTAGAAGTACAGTAACTGAAATTAAAAACTCAACAAGCAAAAACATGGAGAAGAGAAGAATGAATCACTGAACATGAGAGTAGAAACAGAGAAATTACCTAATGTGAACAATAGAAAATAGATTGAAAAAAATGTGAGCAAAACCTCTGGATAGGTGGGCCTATAAGAAATGCTCTGCATTTGGATGGTTGGAGTCCCAGAAAGAGAGGTAAGAGAAGGTGGGGCTGAAAAAATATTTGAAGAAATAATGGCTAAATATTCCCCAAATTTGAAAGAAGGTGGGTGAAAACCTACTAGGGGTCTCCCAAAGAAATCTACCCTGAGGCACTTCATATTCAAACTGAAAAGTAAAGACAAAAAACATTCTGAAAGAAGTGAGAGAAATAATTCATAATTTATAGGGGAGCACCAATTTAAATGACTGCAAATCTGAAAACATGAGGAAGTGGCACAACATTTTTTCAAGTGCTGGAAGAAAAGAACTGTCAACCTAGTACATATTCTGTATTTAGAGAAGTTTCCTTCACAAATGAAGGGAAAATTAAGATGTTCTCAGATGAAGAAAACTGAGTTTGTTGCCAGCAAAGCTACCCTAAAAGAATAGCTAAAGGAATGTCTCTAGTGAAGAAGGAAGTGATTAAAGGTGTAGTCTTGGAAGAACAAGAGGGAAGGAAGAACAATCCATAG